CACAGCTCACTTCCTCCTTTATTTAAATGCAGGTCTTTAATTTCAGCCTAAACCATACAAGGAAATTACCTCCATCCATTACATGTGTTAAACTGGACTCTTCCTTTGCTTCTCAGCCCACCTGACTCAAGATAAAAATAAAGGGAACGGGGAGGTTAGAGTTTCAAAGGCTCTCATGCTGGTTTCTGAAAGGCCCACGAGACCGTCAGGAGTTAGCTTTTTCTTCTCTTTCTCCTTCTTTTTTTTTTTTTTTTTTTTTTTTTTTAATTTAAGTCAGACTTTTTATATATCCCAAGCTGCGAAACACCAAGAAAGATCCAACACTAATTAAAAGCAATCAATGTATAGTTACATTAAGTGGGAAAGAAGCTCTGTGTCTGGCGTTAAAGGTTGTAAGTTTAAAATAAACCTAGAAATGCCAAAGTTAAGCTTTCTCAGATCCACGCCAGCGCGCCCACACGCCTGGTACTATATATATGGTGAGTCCCATACCTACACATGCTGGCCATTAAACCTCAGAAGCACAGAACGAGGCTGCTGGCTGCAAGGCTGCCACGGGGGTAGAGGAAACTTCCATTTCCAGAACTTATATTTCCATCTTGAGATTCTAACTACTTTGGGCATGAATTTTTTCCAATTTGAATTTCTTAGGATTTTGAAATTTTTCATTTAAATGAAAATCAAACAGTGGGAAGAAGAGCCGGGAAAGTTTCTGTTCAGAAGCTCACAAAATCTCTGGCTAAATCTGAAGCCATCTGCAGGGGGACAAGGCAACATCACACATGGTGAAGATATAACCTCTAAAAGCCTGAGCACTCAGGTACCAGGTCTGAAAACACCCCTTCCTGAAGTGTGTAACAACATGTTGCAAATCAAGACTGAATTTTCTTTCTCACTGAAACCTCCCTGTGTGTAAGGCTATGGGCACTTTAAAGTTATTAAAGTACAAAAAAAAAAAAGAAAAGAAAAGAAGAAAAACAGCAAAAGAAGAAAGGGGGGAGGAAGAAAGGAAAGAAGAGAGTCAGAGACAGGAGAAAGGAGAAAAGGGAGAAAAGAGAAAGGAGAGAGGAAGGGAGGGGAATAGAGGGAAAGGAGAGGAAAGGAAAGGACACGGAAGGGGGAAGAGGGAAGGAGGAAGGGGGAAGAGGAAAGAGGTAAGAGGGGAAAGGGGAAAGTGGAGAGGGGAAAGGCTGGGGATTTAGCGCAGTGGTTCTGCCACCTTGCAAGCACACAAGGTCCCCAGTACCAAAAAAGAAAAGAAAAGCCAAGCCAAGCCAAACGGAAGACTCTCCTCAAACTTCCCACTGGAAAGAATCAACTAGAGAAAGAGACAGAAACAAGGAGTGGGAAGTCTTTTTCTAGAATCAGAAGAGTAATAAAAACACAAGGCCTCAACAAATAACCACACCACTCAAGAAAGAGAAAAATAACTTGAAAAGGTGGATGAAAGGCAGTAAAAGACGATGGATACTCGAGGCCACAGGCAACATGATTTTACAAAAAAATCTAGCAAGAGCTTTTAATACTATGATGTTCCAAGTATTTCCGAAGAAACATTTTGTCTCCAATACCAGGTATCACAAGTCACATAAAATATATTTGTACTGCAGTAAAAATATACGTAAGACAAAGTTACACATCGTAACCTTTTTGGGAGGTGCTGGGGTTGGAACCCAGGGCCTTTCTACTGAGCTCCATTGCCAGGCCCCAGCCTCATGCAAATTTTTTTTTAATTTGAGATAATCTCACTAAGTTGCTAAATTGCTCAGGCTCACTTCAACTTGCAATCCACCTGCTTCAGCCTCCCAGAGTGCCAAGATTATAGGCATGTGCCACCACACCTGGCAGACTTAACGGTTTTTAAGTGCATAGCCTAGCACCATTTGGTACATCCACCGATGCTCTGCATTCATCGCATCTCCACCCCACAGAATTTTTTCATCTTCCTCAAATGAAGCTCAAAACCCATTAAACAGTCACTTTCCCTTCTCCCTCTCTCTAGCCCCTGGCAACTTCTATTCCTCTTTGGATCTCTATAAATTTGCTTCACATAGCCAAGATGGAACCGCCAATGAATGGAACCATACAGTATCTGTTATTTAGTGTTACACTTACTTTCATTTAGCATAATGTCTTCAGGGCTTATCTTATCATTATCAAAATTCTTTAAGGCTGAATAATATTCCATTTTGAGTACAGACCACGTTCTGTCTATTTATCCATGTGTCAGTAAATATCTGAATTGCTACCACCTTTTTTGGCTATGGTAAATAATGCCATGAAAGACCTGAGTATGCAGATTACCCATCTGGCTTCCTGCTTTGGAAGCAGACTTGCCCACAAACGGTATCTCTGGTCCATTAAACGTCTTCTATACTTTGGTATCCAACACTCATCAGAACCAAAAAAAGAATGGAATTAGGTTAGAAAACTACAGTCAACAACACTGCTGAAGCGGGAAGCCATGCAGAGCTGTGCAGTCACAAAAGTGCCCATGAAGTGCTGCAGCTGCCACGTGGTGGGTGGTGGCTTCAGCTAACACACCCCTAGCTCACTCAGCTGATGGAGGCTAAAGTTTTGAGTTCAACAACAGAAATGCGCCTCAACAAAAGATTCTTAGGGTAGAAGGCATGCGTCTGAACAGCTTAACAAAACAGTCTCAATGTGCCATTACTGCCTAGCACCTCTGTGAGACAACACTGTTAAAAACATGGGCACATTTTCTGACACGACCTTATTTAAACCTGCCGGGGACTAACTGTACCAGGCAGCATGTGAAAACAAGCCTGTTGACATCAGAGGACACACAGACGTGCAGGCGACCACAGAGCCGAATCTCCCATCTCTTAACAGCCTAATAATTTAAAATACCAAGATAAAATTGTGCATATCTCTTTAAGATAGGCATACTTTACAGGTTTATATCTTACCACAAATCAGAAATAATAGATAAGCCAAACCCTCCAAATTTTAATGAAAGCCAAGACCACATCAGCTCTCCACTGTCCAAATCCTGACAACATATTATCAGAAGCTCAATTAGAGATAAAAACCAGAGACAAGGGAAAAGGCAATTTTAGGTTCCTCTAAGGGAAGTCTAGAGCGATGATATTAAAATGTCCATAGGCTGTTTAGACTGCGAGGAATTTACTTTTTCATAGAATAAACTTTTCCTTTATAGTCCCTTTTTTTTAAATACAGTGTCTTAAGTAGATCTTTTGGAATTTACAAGATAAATACTGGTAATTTGATTCTTATCTTCTCTAAATCCAATTCTAAGCCAATTTTGTGTAAAGGACACTAATTATAGCCTACAGGGAGAAAAAAGGTAACCTATCAGAGAGAGTACACTTGAAACATTTAAAAGGCTAGGGGACCCTGAAAAGTTAAATAGATTTCAAATCTATTGGAGGAAGAATAATAATTAGTTAAATGGAAATTATTCTCGGGGCCTGGTCTACTTCCCATGGGCACTTCAACATCTTGTCAATGTGGTGCCCAAATGGCCTGTGGCAGAGGAACGCAGGGTTTTTGCTTCCCCCCACCCAGGCCTGAGACAAGCAATAACTTTAAAAAGAGTCAGCTTTGATGAGTGAAACTACAACCACAAGGGGAGAGAATAGAAACTTCTTGCAAAAAGCTAAATTCTGCCTGGGTAACAGGTCTCTTCCTATCTGCTCCATATCTGTGGTTGATAAATTGGTTATATAAGACACTGCTTTTTCTAAGCTAACCCTAAAGACAACAATGCCTGTAGGGTGCATGCATATGCATCTTCATTCTTTACTATCCTACCTCTTTGTGCTATTTTTCTTGGCCTTGGTCACAAAAGACAGTCATGCTAAAAGGATGCCATAAATCTGACATTTCCAGGCAGCTTCAGGGAGGCCTGAACATGCAAAGGGCCTGGGCTCCTCTGGTGTTGAGCCATAGTGACCAGGAGGACCCCAGAGGTGCTGCTGGGCTGATGGAGCACACAAGCTGGTCAAGGGATCAGTGAAACGGATCTGAAAAGTCTTGGTCATTGGAAACCCAATGAACTGACAGCTCCAAACAACTTACCTAAACAGCTTTCATTTCAGGACTACCCCAACCACTGAAGCCTCCTGGGGCCAGGTATCTCTTGTATCTGATGAAGGGGCAAACAGGATTGATATCCAACCCCATCCAACTCATCAAGTCCCAGGCCCTGGTTAAGAACCATTTCCTTCCACAAGGAGGGTGTCTTTTCTGATTCACGCAAAAGCTCTGTGTAGATGACTAACAACCATGCTTAAGCCCACACCGAAACTTCCTGAGCATTAAGGGCTCTCTCTCTCTCTCTGGAGGTGACCACCTCCTTCCTATTGCCTGCACACCTAAGTTTCCCACTGACCCCTAGAAGCCAAGTGCCACCCAAACAGCCATGTCATTACAACCCACGGTCGGCCCATATCCTCCAACCGAGAGTCTAAACCTAAGTGGCCAATATTTCAGTGCAGGAATGAACCAAGATCCCAGACTACATAAGTAGACTGACTGGGTTTTTGTTATACCGAAAGGTCCTAACAAAAATATTTGTAAAATCCTACACTGAAGAGCTTAATCAGAAAAGGATTCTGAGGCTGAACCAATGACGTTGTCACTATTCCAAACACACAGATATAAAAGGAGAAAATATCTCCTGACAAGTCAATTTAGACCCACCCAGAAATAATTCTTGCCTGTGACATACTTACTGTTCCAAAGAGCTAGTGTGATGCCTCTTCTATAAACATCTAGAAAATGGACATGGGGGTTGGGGATTTAGCTCAGCAGTGCCACCACCTGCCTCACAAACACAAGGTCCCAAGTTCAAGGCCTGGTACCCAAAAAAAGGAAAATAGACACGGGTTAAGTGGTAGAAATCAGTCTTGCCATTTTTCTTACAGATTAGCCCCTCCAAGAAAACCAGGCAGCAGAAAAGTGAGTGCTGGCTATGAGGGAAAGCTTCCTTCACTCTGTCTCTCAATCCTTTACAGGCCCTCAACTACTTTCAACAGCTGGATACAGAAGTGGCCTGAGTACAAACACAGTGAGCAGATTTTCTGAGGCTACTTCAAATTCTACCTTTCAGGCTTGTGTTCCATCATCCTTACTTGGGCTAATCTCTCATCTTCTTTTAGGGGTTCTTTGGCTTCCACTCATCTCACTGGCTATTCACTACCTCTCTAGAAGATGGGTAAGGACAGGAGAGAGGGTTGTGCACCTGGAAGCAGCAGCAGCAGTAAATGTAATGGAGAAACACATGGCAGCTGGAGAACAAACAGCCGCAAGGACACCCAGTCCCTCTGTAGTTGGGGACAGCAACTCCCACCCATGAGCTCCTCACCTCCCCACAACAGACTACCCAGAACTGTCGAGCCAGCCCAAGGCTAGAATGTAACCATGCCTTGCCACTGCTTCACAGCGGGTGTCATGGGTGTGATTTCTGGTTCAGAGAGCATGGTTCCAAAGATACAATTAAAGGACACAGGCAAAAGCACTCAAGCCTCAACCTCCATCTGGACTCAGCTGCAGAGGGAGACAGGGAGACAAGGCAGGTCAAAGAGGACAACCTGAGCAAGCCTGCCAGAGTTCCTCAGCTCAGGCCAGGTACTGGTGCTTTTTATCTACTTTAACAAGGCAACATTTGGGTGTGGTGCAATGTGTGTGGGTGTGTGCGCGCTCGTGTACATGCGCATGTGTTTATATATTCTATATTAACTACCTGAATGTTCTTCCAGAAAATTCCTTTCTCCTTTTATCACATAAAGTCAACCAAAGGTGCCAAACACAAGGAATCTTCCAAAGCCAGGGAAGTGTAGAAGGAAGATGAAGATTGAGGGGACTAGAAAGTTGGGGTCCTCAGACTCACAAAGGGACTATGGCCTGGTCAGTTGAAAAGGAAAGAGCCCCACAGCAGCCCACTCCATGTGTCATGTGACCTAATCCTTATGACAGCACTACATATTAGGAAGGTGCTATCAGCCCCATTTTCAAGATGCACAAAGGCTCGCCAAGATAAATATGGGGGGAGCAAGACTCAAATAGAAACTATAAGGGACAGAGAAAGAACTTGCCCATGAAACTGACCCTTGGAGAGCAGAGAACAAGGGGGAAGTAGTATAAGGTTTCCTCAACTCTTTGTCCCAACCATGGCTGGGGTGAGGACAACTGGACCATGAGGAGAAACCTGCAGTAGAAAACAATCAGTTGTTCTAACATGAGATGATCAGAAAGGCATTCCCCACCCCAAACTCAGACCACAGAATCTGTAATGAAGGACACCATGGAGCCACCTAAACATGCACGTGCTCATGATCCTGGCAGCAGCCCTGTCTTCTCATCCGAGCCAAACTGTCCACAATAAAAAGCTCCTTGGATGCTCTGGGCGCCCCCCACCTTTGTGGCAAGACCTTGAAGGCCTGAATGCACAAACACAGTGCCCTTTCACCAAAGCCTCCTGGGTCTTGTTTCACTGGGGCCGTGAAAGAGAGCACTGTAAATAAAAGAGGCTTGCTTGACCTGCCCGTAGGACCCGACCTCCTTCTCCACTACTGTAACAGAGCCCCTGGCCAGCACAGCTTCGGCCTCTCTGCTCAGGGGATGTAGGTTTAGGGGTGTCCGTGAGGAGGGGTTGCACGGGCCTGGTCAGTCCAGTGTCATACACTTGTCGAAATGGTTGCAGGGAGAAGGGGGAGGGGAGGCCATTTGGTTTTGTTCTCTTTGTCCAGCCAACTGGACAAAAACCAGAAAAGGAGAGTGGACTGAGGGACTGAGACCCCTTTTCAGCAGCAGTCACATACAGAGGACACTGTGCCATCAATGCGAGGTGTAAATGAGAATGTCACACTAGGTGCAGCTGTATACTTAAGAAAGTAACTGAAAGGAAGGGAAGGAGGGAGGGAAAAAGCCAGACAGGGAAAGAAGAAGAAGGAAGGAGGAACAGAGGAAAACTTGGGAAAAGAAAGGCACAAAAAAGAGCCGAAGTAGCAACCCAACTCACAAGTACAGAGAAAACCCAGATCAAACCCCGTGAGTCAGCTCCACCATCTACCATGAGCACCAAGCACTCAAACAAGGGGACATCCATAAGGCTAGGAATTGAGAGTTCATGTCTGAAGGGGCCCGCAAGGAAACACATGAGAATATGGTAAGTGATTCCTTATTAAGTATCTGTGGCTTCTGTCTCTGCAAAAGGAGGGAGGATCTGCAAACCTTCACCCTCCAGCTACTCCCACTATGAGGTCACTGTCCCTCCTGGGGGGGTATGGGTGGGGTGGGGGGAAATAAAGCAGCAGAAAGAACAAAACCATATATACTATTATTAAAATTTCCCATAAAAATAAAACGCAACAGAAAAAAAAGCAGAAGCAAGTGAATGCTCTGGTAAGGACATGAGCATCTTGTTAGGAAAGGGCAGCAGAGAAGCCTAGAACCACCAGCCCTGCCTGGCCAGTAGAGCTGCTGCCCTCCACAGCAGCAGGCCTGTCCACAGAGCAGCCAAGAGGACAAACTTGTGTTCTAAGTTTTAAAATGGGTTCCCATTTTTTAACAGAAAGGCTAGAACCCAAAGGCAAAGACTCAAAAGCTCTTACCTACCCCAAGCTCATTAGCACAGCCCCAGACAAGGCCTGAGCCACACAAGCCCTCCAAACCATTCTGACTACCAGAAAGCTGTTTGTTTGGGGTTGTTTGTTTATTTGTTTGTAATACTGGGGATCAAACTCAGGACCTTGCATTTGCAAGGCAGGTGCAGCACACTGAGCTAAATCCCCGGCCCCCCTGGGCCCTTTTATGATGGGGTTGCAGAGGGGAGAAAGAGAAAGAAGCTCCTCTAACCAGGCCAGACTTTCCTACACTGCTTCCCCAGCAGCCTGCCAGCAACTCAAGGCCTCAACTCAAGGAGATTCCAGTGTTAGATCCCTTTTCATCCTCCCTGCACTGGAACCCTGGGAATGAAGCCCCAGCCCTCTCAGGGCTCAGATGCCTATATGACAAAAATGGCCTAACCACAAAGAAAATGCACCTACTAGTTGAAGCCAAATCACTCCCAGGCCTTCCACAGCATATCCTGTCAGGGAGCAGAAGAGCAGAGCACAGGAAGCCACCTGGAATGGCAGGTGGAATAGTACACACACATACCACCCAGTCTCGGCTACTCATCCGTACAGTAGATGTGAGAACACGATGCTCCTTTTCCTGCCTGAGATCTGTGAGCTGAACCAGACAATCTCCTCCCATCCCCTCTATGCCTAACATCTTAATTACAGGAATAAGCTCAGCAGCAAACAAATAGCCAATGGCCCAGAATCCATCACTTCCTTCCCAAAGCGTGCCTGGCTGCCCCAAGGAGGGCCCAAGCAGAGTTACAGGCTTATACCTACCATCTGGACTCCTATAAAGCCTCTGGGTCTTTCCATGGTTAACATCTAGGGATCTACCTGCAAAATCTAGAGAAAGGGGAAGAGGAGTGGCCAGGCTCCCCATGCCTTGTTACATCCATCACCAGCACAAACCTTCACCAGATTCACAAACTGTGGTTTACACACAGTGCTTTGGCAAGCACAGATGCATAAAGGCAGTTCCCCAAGGATACTTCTAGACTGTCCCCCCTGTTTCCCTCCACACCAGCTAACTCAGCCACTTCTGTCTCCCTGCCAAGCCTCTGGTGGACAGAGGATACCCTCCCCAGGTCTTTAGAATTAGAGCTTCCCTCCACAATTAATCAGTCCAAGGCTGGGCACAGAAACAGAGAGGAAAAAAACAAAAGCAAAAAAATGGCTCTTGCCCTCAAGGGGCTCTCAGTTGTCCTGAAGACTGGGCATGAAAAATAGGAGGATAATCAGCAGTTTAACCAAACCAGTAGGTGCAAATGAGAAGTCCTAACTGCCAAGCCTCGGGTACCTGCCTCCTCTTCTAGAACCCATAGGAAATAAGCCCAGGAAAACCTTGACCAGCCCACACTCACCCATCCATCCTCTGCTTCCGAAAAAGCTGACCTTCAGGAACTTCCTTTTAACTGTTTCTCTCTGGAATGCGACCCAGGCAGCTGGATATCGGGTCTGGGTACAGAAGGGTGAGACAAAGGTTCTAGGGTCTCAGAGTCCTTGCCCCCACAGTGCCTGCTCATTTTCAGCTGGAGGGTATGCACAGGTTATGGATTACACCCTCATATGCACAATAAGGTATGGGGGAGTCCTTAGCCACCTACTATCACAAAGACCCCACATTCCCCTAGCCCTTCTCGCCTGCCTGGCCTGGTCTAGCCACAGTAAAGATGCCAATTAGGACAGGGTTTCTACTGGTTTGAAAAAGAGGAAAGATGAAAGTAGATGCTCCAGAGGAAAGATGGTTCTGCTTTGACATATCTGAGACTGGGCTTGTTTCCAGAGAGCCATTAAAACTAGTGTGCAGTGATAGCTGACCCATCAGTACCATACTGCAGATATGCAGAAAGCTCAGGCCAACCTGCTTTACAGGAGCACCACTACCCATCCATCAGACAGCCTCCAATTCTGAAAGCCAACCAGACATATGAAACACCTACAATGTCCAGTATACTACACTCAGAGGAGCAAAGAACGAACAGTGATACAACTGAAAAGGGCCCCAGGTCCTTCCCACAAACAGGCAGGTCTCTTATGGAAAGGAGTGGACAAAGTACCAGTAAGAAAAAAATCAGGCTCATCCACACTCCTTTTGGCATGGTTGTTCAAAGGAGTCACGTATTTCCAGCTAAAAGCAGGGGGGAGGAATATATCCAGAGGGGCTTCTTGGAGAAGAGTACAGATACTAAAGTCTGACAGCTCTGGCCCTGTAGTGAGACATGCAGAAGGATATGAAAAATGAGAGATGAAATGAAAATTCAACTCCATAGCAACAGGTACTGAGCAGCCATATGCTGGACAATGGACCAGAAGGCCACAGAAAAGTGTCCCTGCCTTGAGGAGAATATCCTAAGGTATATGCTGAGAAACAGAGGAGAAATGTAGCTGGAGTCTAGGTCCCTCCCTAGCTTTGAATGCCAAGCTAAGAACTCCCATTTCTTCTGTGGAATAGGTAAGTAGGGAGTCATTGCAGTTTAACAGCAGGGCTTTGCTTCAAGAGGATGTGGTGATGAGCCACAGTGGAGGCAATGCAGAGAGGCTGGGTAGGAGGCCAAGACACTACATGGTTATGTGAGAGAGGAAACAGGTTAGACAAATGTGAATGTGGAAGGCAAAGGAAAGGTAGGAGCTATTGAAGATGCCAAAGTCTAGAATCAAGTGCCCAGGACAAAGGCAGAGCCTCTGGCAAAACTGAAGTCCCAAAAGAAAAGGTTCGAAAGGGACAGCAGCAGGTTAAAGCAGCTCCAGGCACACTATGGTCTTGTTCCCAACAGGACTGCTATGTCTCAAAGGCAACTGGGAAGAAATGACACAGAGATCTAGAAGTTGTCCACAGAGAGGCGCTCGTGGAAACCATGTGATGACCAAGAAAAAGGTTGGAAAGAGGAGAAATGCAGGGATACGCTCTTAGGACACAGTATGGGTGAGAAGGTCACATCTACGATACTCCACCTTCCCCAATGAAAGAGAACCCTCAGGCTGGGCATCCCTCATGGGAAATGCTTAGAAGGAGAAGTGTTTCAGATTTCATAGTTTTTCAAATTGTGAAACAATCGTATAGATCTTACTGGATAAGCATCCTTCATCCAAAAATCCAAAACCCTGTGTCAGTAATCAAAAAGTTTCAGATTTTAGAGCATTTCAGATTTCAGATTCTCAGATGAGGGATACCCAAGCATTTTGCAGATGAAAAAATAGATTTTGAAGGCCATAGTGACTGCCCTTAGGAAGGGGCAACAACAGGATTCAAACACAGATTTCAGAAAGTTCCATCTATCACAGTGCATGGTCCTGAGGGGAGGTAAGAGATGAAATACCAGGGGAGAGGGGTAGGGGCACATAGGAGCAGGAGCACCAAGAGCAGATCTCAAGCCACCTTGGAAAGAACAGTATCAATATAATCAAGGAGCTCTTGGAGCAAATGAACCTAGAAATCCAAAGCTGGAGAGAATAAATTGGTTGGTACCTAAATATTCTTAAGAGTATCCACCTTCTGGGTGGTGCA